TGAGGAAGACTTTGTTATCATTTAGCATGGGTGGAAGTTCATGACCACGCTTAGAGGAGGAACGATGACGGAAGATGTTAGCGACGGATTTGCCAGGGTTCGAACCACTGAGAGCAATTGATTCTCTTTGCCTGTCGCGCGCTTGGCGCATCCTTGAGGCCATCTCAAAAATCCCTGTGATTCTAAGATGAACTGGTAAGGAACTAGTGGATGGGTCACGCAGTTGTCGCCTCAACTTTTTTAGTCTGTTCTAAAGAAAATGAGGAACAAGAGAATCTGAAGAATTAGGCTTGAGATATCTACGCGGCACCAACTCTAGTATGTCCTTAGAAACATTGGACATGACATCACGAAGAGTGGTTACATCGCTACAAGTGAGGAAGCCACACCAATCCAAGGATCTCATATAGTTATTTATTAAGTCGCTATCTACGCAGTCGTTGTTCATGAAAGTCTGAACGGCGCTTGTCTTTTTTGAAAAGGTAAGCGGTAAGCAACAATGAATTAATACTTGGTCACTGTGAAAGAGGTCCTTTTTTAAAGCAACAGAAAGAGGAGCAATGTCATTGGTAAAGATTAGATCTTAAATGTGATTATCTCTTGTTGGAGAGCGCACCAGTTGGGACCAATTAGAAAAATTGACAATATCTTGAAAGGGCTGGAATCTGGGTGGGCAGCTTTTGGAAACCCAGTCTATTTCAGGAAGGTTAAAATCCTCAGTGATTATTTTAAAATCGAAAGCAGCTTCCAAAATAAATTTAAAGATTTCACAGAGTTGTGAGTCATCACTGGCTAAAGAATTTGGGGGATTTTAGATACAGCCAATAATTGCCTTTCTTTGCGGCGAGAGAATAACAGATGCAAAGCAGAAGTTTCCCGTGAATGAGGAAACATCCAAGTAATAGGGAGAGTGCTTTAGGTAGGATTTAAGATAAAGAAGACAACCACCCTCACGCCTAGTCGTGCGGTCTTGGCGGTAAAAATCGAAGTCATCTATGAGAAGGGCAGAGTCAGGAATTAGAGAACGTGTCCAAGATTCTGTTACACATATAATATCAGGCGTCATTTCCAGAGCAATGGCTCTGATTTGGGCCATCTTGTTTGTAACAGACCTGGCATTCAATAATATAATGTCTAATGTGTTTCGTACGGCAATGCTATTTTCGACGGTATTTAAAAAAAATTTGGAGACGGATATGTAATCTGCGAATTAATGACACTTGGAGAATAAGTACCAGTTAACTTAGAGTTATTGACGTACGGGGAGACAGCAAGAGAAGGCTGAGAATGTGACCTAAAGGAAGTGGGGACATAGTTTTCAAACATTGGAATGCTAGGGGAGTTAGAACATGGATAGACTTGTTGGTAGTTAAATAGTGGAGGAAGGGGAGGAGGAGGGAGGCTAGAAGGAAAGTAGGGGCTAATGGGTGAGGGTAGGCCACTAAAAGAATGAAATGGTGGGAAACCAGGTCTAGATTGAAAGTCGAAGGAGATAGGTTGACGTACCTGAGAGCAATTGGCCTTAAGTGGTGGGAAGCCTGAACTAGATTAGGGCATAAATGATTTAGGGCAATTCATGTATGAATTATTTGCTGGATATATAGTAGGGCTTTGATAAGTAACCGGTACGCAGGACAGAGAATTTTTCGAGGATATAATTGGAGCTGCGGGGTTTGTAGACGTGCTGGGCTGAACAGACTTGTTAGATCTAAGAGAAGGCGTCGTACCCCTAAACGGAGCTGTAGTACCTATCTTTTGGGTCGGAGTCTGATTCAATTTTCGAGTCTCGCCGTTCTGACGCCAAGCCACTGGTGACTTAGCTGTAGACCTTACAGCACCCAGTTGGACAATAGAAGTTATCGGTCTAGCTGATGTAGACGGATTTTCATGTGTCTCAGCGGGACTATCCGGAGGATACGAAACGACGAATGGGGCTGCTGCTGCTGCTGCAACTTTAGGGGCAGGCAAATGCGTCAAGTGGCTTGAATGAGATGGAGATGTAGGAGAAAGAGGAAGGAGGGAGTCAGATGTCGCAGGAGAAGGAGAAGCTGAATCCTTACGGCCACTTGTATTATGACCGAGTTGGGGAGCATTAGACTGAGAAGCAGTAGGTTTACGTGAGAATAGAGACCCAATTCTACGCTCCATAGGAGTAAGATCATGACAAAGGAAAAATTTTGCCTTCTCTAGGTACGCAGTGACACGCTCTCGATGAGTAAAAATTGTGTCAACTTCGATTGATGAAAACAATTTGACTAAGATGGGTGGATTTGTACTACGGGAGGACAAGCGTTTGGCATCAGCTATTTTATAGTTGAAACCACATGAATACAGGAAACTGGTCGCAACATCAATTGGCCGAGCAGATCGAGGAACATTTTTTAGCAGGAAGTTGTAAGAATGCTTCTGTCTATCACTAGATTCACTGGCGATCAGGTGAACAAGTGAGTCGAGCCGCCTACATTCTTCAGAGGGAATATCGGAGATGTTCGCGTCGAATAAATGTCCAAGAATTGTCAGCAAAGAGCCAAACTGTAGCATAAAGTCATTGCAGCGGTCAAGTGCAGACAGATTAAGCTGCCGACCAATTACAACGGGTGACGACTGACTAGTAATATCATCTGACTTAGATTTAGGTAAAGCTTCTGACTTTCGTTTAGTTAGGCCATGTTTACTTACAAGAGCCGAGAGCTTACGTCGACCAGTGACTTTTGGTCTCATCTTGTCTCGAGGCAATTTGTGATTAAGAAAACTTCTGGCAGACAAGTTGACTGAATTTCAGCTAGGGGCTAACGATGTAAAAATAAATTACAACAGTTAGAGAGAAATCGGATGCACAAAATGAGAATTGCAAAGTGCGATTAGTGAACAACGGGCATAGACTAGCAAAACTCGAAAGGAGATGGCAGCGGCCAGTTCTTAGAGAAAAGGCCTGTATTTAAGGAAATTCAAACAAAAAAACAGGTACTAAAATCGTTAGATCTCACAGAAAAACCACTAAAAATAATATCCTCCACTTATCTTCAAATTTAAAACCAGCGGCTTGACCTTGACCTTGACAGTAGGAGTAGGACCTTTAGATTCTAAGAGAGGTGGACGACGTTGTCCAGTGGTTGGCTGCCCACGGAACGTACGGTTCGGATGCACCTGTGAAATTCTGCAGTGGCAGAGGATTGTGGGGAATTTTTTTTAAGGAACTGGACTTACCCAGCATTCCAGTTGCTGAGGCGGCACTCGGACACGGCTTTGCATAAGGCACTCGTCTCACAGACCATGTTGCCTGAAGAGGAGTGCTGGGTCCCCATGGTCTCCGCGGCTCAAACGACAATGGTCTGCTGCTGCTCCGCACCTGCGCAGAACACCGCCTCATCCTGACGAACACGTTCTTCTGTCTGCCGGAGCCAACTGGAGAAGGCCACTTGGAGGCATCCTCGGTCGCGTCAGTGGCACCTGCTGGAATATGTCCTCGTCCGAAGGCGTGACCAACGGGACGTGCTGGTGACGTAGGCGATCGCGGGTGCTGACGGGTGGACCGACCATCGCCTCGTAATCTCGAAATGCATATTCGCCTACAGCCTCGTAGGAGACCACAAGGTAAGCGCACCCCAGGTAAGCTGAATGTTGCCTTGTTGTATTTGCCCGCTCATCAGCAATGAGCTCAATAGCTAGACAACCTTCCCATCGCAGCCGCCCCCGGTGCTGCCGAGAACGCCTCCGTGTTGATCCGATGGTGCCAACTGCGAGACACAGTCCAGTCGACGGCGCTAACCGTCCTCGGTCGCGCACCCCGCCAACACCAGGACTGGTTCGACGACAACGACGACACCATCAGAAATCCGCTTGCTGAGAAGAACCATCTACACAGAGCCTACGTCGACCGCCCCACTGACGGCAACAGAGCTGCTTTCTACCGCAGTCGTCGCCATGTAAACAGCGGCTGTGCGGGATGCAGAACGCCTGGACTTCTCGCAAGGCCGATGAGATGCAAGTGTACGCGGACGGCAACGAATGGAGTAATGTTCTCACCGCAATCAGGATTTTCTACGGCCCGCCATCCAAAGGTACTGCTTCTCTTCTTAACGCCGACGGCAGCACTGGATGACGCAAATCCTACAGTGATGAGCCGAGCCCCTCCCTCAATGCACCGCGGTCGCAAATCAGCGTGAACAGAACCCAACTTCGAGTGGTGGAGAACTTCCCGTACCTCGGCAGTACCCTCTCGCGGAGCACCAAAATCAATGACGAAATCGCACGCAGGATTTCGAATGCCAGTCAGGCTTTCGGCCGCCTCCAAATCACAGTTTGGAATCGTTATATTCGTCAACTGAGCACGAAGCTGAAAATGTACAAGTCCGTCATCCTGCCGACGCTGCTGTACGGAGCGGAGACTTTGACAGTGTACACGAGACAGGCACGTCGACTGAACCACTTCCACCTCAGTTGTCTCCGTCGCATCCTGAGGCTGAACTGGCAGGACCGCATCCCCGACACCGATGTGCTGGAACGAACGGGAATGCTGAGCATCTACTCCATGTTGAGACAAATGCAGCTGCGCTGGAGCGGCCACCTGGTGCGCATGGACGACGAGCGACTACCCAAACGACTCCTCTACGGAGACGTCGCGACGGGTTCTCGCCGTCAAGGTGGCCAAATTCGCCGTTACAAGGATACCCTGAAGTTCTCCCTGAAGCGCCTGCAAATCAATCCGGCCAACTGGGAAGACCTCGCCCGCGATCGTCCGACATGGAGGAGAACAGTGAAGACTGGCGCTGCGATCTATGGAGCCAACCGCATCGCCGCCGCCAAAGTGAAACACGAAGCACGCAGATCACAGCTGTGTCCACTCCGAAACGCCGACGCGCAACCGCTTCCAACGTGTCCTCGATGCCAACACAGATTCAGAGCGTTAATTGGACTTGTTGGACACCTTAGGTTCAGTTCAGGGGATGGTGGCACGCCTAGGTGTGGGTCCCGCCCTGCCAGCCACCTGCGCCATCCCTCGCCTCCGGTCTTCCTCACTCTGTATTGCCACTCTGTCCAGTTTGGGGGATGGGGAAGGGAAAGTGTGGTAGATACTGCGCAAGTCTGCTGGTACTTTAAACTAGTTCACGCGCAAGTCACCGTGCCTGCAGCCCCTTGTTGCTACGGTCAAACTGACGAAACTACATCTCTGATTAATCGCTCAACAGCACATCATGAAGGGCGCATCTTACGACCTCTCCTTTTTTTATGGGTAATCGGGCATTTTGAAAAGCAAGAGATCTCCATAGTCCACTTTGTTTTTGGATGAAGGGCCAAACTGAGACATTTTCTGAAGAATAAGGCTTCCTAAATCGGCAATCAGCGTGGTCGTCGCACACCTGCGCCATGCAGTTTTACATTTCCACCCACATGAAGGAAACTGTGAAACAGAACAGAGTTCGACTGTAGAACACTTCTTTGATTCAGACCCTCTGCTTCGCTTGCAATTCAATTAGCCCTCCATCTTCTCCCCCGCCTTGCGTTGCCGTCAATGTTCGAAAGTGAAGCACATGCATTCCCTTCAAATAAATATATTTATCTTAATAAAACCCAGTAAACCCATCGATATGGTTTAAATCTGTTCAACCAAAAGCAAAGACCGTCTTGGTGAGGAACCAGGGGTGATGGAGGTTTCGGCCGAGTCCAGGCCGTACAATAGGTGAGCTAACTCATGAAATGTTAACCGAAATTTCGAAATGCCTTTTTGTTTCGGAAAGACTAATAAAGTGCGGTTGGAAAACTGATCATTATGCAGCTGAATTCTATAATAATTCAGTCACCTCAGGGTGCCGGTTTTTCGAAAAAATTCCTTCCCAGCTACATGCTGCATGATTATTATGAAAACACTACTTATGCAGTTAATCCTTTCGAATCGTAAACTTGTTTGGGAATTTCGACTAACATTTCACGAGAAAACACATCTGTGGCAAGTCTGTTAGGTGGTGACGCATCTATACCGCCAGTTTGGCAGCTGTTTGCGGCTGTGGTTACTCCGAGCTGAGCACGAAGAACACTCAGTGCACAGCCGCGATGAGTCACGTTTCTTGGAGTAAGGGCGAGGGCCGCGTCATTTAATTTGCTCACATTAATTGCAAAACTCAAGCACGCGGCCCGGCTCTTGGAATGGGCTACATCGTAACTAATTGCAAACTTACGTCGGCTAATGCTGAATGCCCTTCCTGCTACCCGGGTTTTTGCAGCTGTCATATCTGGCACAATTTTACGTCCCTACACCATTGCGATCTACAAC